TAATGTTTGTTCAGGAGCAGTTCCTAAAGCAGTAGCTAGAGCAGTTATAGCAGTAGCAGCATCTTGTAATGCTTGGTTACCCATATTGGCAGGAGGATTAGGAGGATTAAGAGGTGGTGGTAGAGGTAAAGGTACAACAAGAGATTGATATATAGGAGGTGGAGATGGTGGAGCAACAGAAGGTTAAACAGGGGCAGTATAGAGAAAGTTATCTAGGTCAATATCTGATTCATGGTTCGAGTCTAGTTCTTTGTCACTAGAATTTCTAGGTTTAAGAATATTTTCTTGGTTAAATCAAATAATCCAAGAGGGAGTGTTGTTAGTTTCTGGTGGGGTTTGGTGAGTGACTTCTTCACTATATGGAGGAAGGCTATCTTCTGGTTCGTAGAAGTGATGAGTATCTTCTGGTAGGGCAGTTATGCGAACACTGTTGTCTGCAGAGGTGGCTTGTAAGATAGGGCTTCCTAAATTTCCAAAGAATTGACTAAAGTTTCCTGGTTTTTCAAAACTTAAGGTTTGGGGTTTGTCAAAGTAATAGTCGAAGGTGTTTGGTATTGGAATGATAAGGTAGGAAGTTGAAGGAGAGGAGTATGTTGTTGAAGAAGTATAAGGGCTATGTCTCGGGGGTTGGAAAGTGCAGTTGTATAGCAACAACTAAAAATAATATCTCGGATTGCTATATGAGTATCAGTATAATTGGTAGTACTGGTAAGTACAGCAAAAGTGCTTGGGTCCTTCGAGAATAAAGTAAGGCTAAGAAGCGAAGGTTGTAAAAGGTCCAAAATCTTCCAAAAGGTGTACAAGGACTTGTTCGACGAGGGTAATAGCAATCAGTGCAAGAAAGGTCTGGGTAGCCTAATTGTAATACATCTAAAGCTAAATGTCCTAAGTCTAAATGTACTCACTGATGGTTACGAATATATTCTCAATGTAACTCGTCAGCAGTTTGTACCATATGTTAAGAAGTGAGTTGCTAGTATAGCAATTGTCTAAGGTTTACTAAGAAGAGGAAAAACGGCTCGCGTGCTGGAAACAGATGTCCAGAGATTTTAACAAAAATACGGCTCACGTGCTGGAGACAGATGTCCAGAAAATTCAAAAATACGGCTCGCGTGCTGAAGACAGATGTCCAGAAAATTCAAAAATATGGCTCGCGTGCTGGAGACAGATGTCCAGAAATTCAAAAATACAGCTCACGTGCTGGAGGCAGATGTCCAGAAATTACCGAAGAGAAGAGGTAGAGGAGAGGTGCAGAGGGAATTTAATTTTATTTCTGCCAGAAGGCACCAAATGTTACAGTACTGTGGCCTTCTTAACAGCAGTACTATAACAATGACACAGCTATAGGGATCCTTTACAGGTTTATAGCGGTGTCCAAAAGGTAAGTATAATTCCTTAGTCTGTAAGAAACTATACTCTTCTCTCTGAGGCAGTTCGGTAAAACAAGAGATAATAGTTTATACTTTAAACAAAGATAACAAGCCTTGCCTGTAGGAATTACCCTAGAGGGGGAATGTTATATACTTTTATTAATAAGAATAAAGAGGCTATCTGTTAGGCTTCTGTATCTAAGGAATCCTTTTACAAGAGGAATACTAAGTTAAGAATAAAAGGGAAGTGATCTGTATCTACTGTCACTTGGGAATTTAGCAGGGTTTATATATCTTTGGATTTAAGTGACAAAGCGACAAAGCGACTAAGTGACTAAACGACTAAGCAACTAAGCAACTAAGCGATTAAGCGACTAAGCAACTAAGCGACTAAGTATTTAAGCGACTAAGTGACTAAGCAACTAAGCGACTAAGCAGCACAGTAATGCACAGTAATCAGCACAGTAACTGGCACAGTAATGCATAGTAATCGATACAGTAACTGGCACAGTAATGCACAGTAATTGGCACAGTAATTGGTACAGTAATGCACAGTAACTAAGTATTATATTATGTATAACAATATAAAATAATATACTAATAATAATAATTAAATAATAACTAAAAATAACTAATAACAAAATAAAATAAAATAATCATTCTATAACATTTCCATCCTCTTATAAAATTTGTTTCACAAATTTCAACTTGCAACCATTGAGGAGTCGATAATAATCACCATCTGTTAGCTTGATGAGCTGTGTTGCTGTTAGTGTCTGTAACTGAGACATAACTTCCTTTGGGCAAATTCTGAAACATTCATAAGTTCGATAGGCACCACGCCAAGTGTCTTTGGCTTTTCTTTTGTCTTGTTTTCTTTTGATAAAGTCTTTTATCATAGCTAGGTCTGCATGTTGGTCAAGAAGTTTTCCGAAATAGTAATATGTCTGAATCTTTTGGTTGAAGTCTTTTCTAGTTCGGCTATGAGTAGTGAGTTGGGTTAACATCTTGTCTATTTGGGCTTTTCAAGTTCTACCAATAAACGGGTTGGTTAAGCTTTTAGTCATTAACTGAATGGTTTGAGATACATCAGTTAGAAGGATAGTTATAGAGTCTTCTAAGTTTTCAATTTCTGATTCTACAGTCAAATTAAAATCAGTAGTGTCTTCTATTTTTGATTCTAAGGTTGGAATAGGATTGGTAGTGTTTTCTATTTCTCCTGGTACTAGAAAGTCATCAAGATTTACTTCTATTGATTGGTCAAGAAGTAGCATTAAATCAAAGTTTCTTGCAGCATCCAGAG